TTCTTTTATGCTTTCTTTTTACCTTTGGATTGTACATAATTTTATCATTTTATTGCACTTTTCATACTTTTACTTTTGGTCTATATATAAAGATACGTTCCTATGTATATATTCATTCTCCCTTATGTATATTCGACTAAATCCCCTCTTGTATATATTCATTTTACTTTCCGCATTTTTCCTTTCATAGTTTCTTGTTTTGAGTTTTTGCAATAAGCCTTTGGTTTTCTTAATGTCATGGTTCTTTCCAAAGGTGGAATTTGTGCAAACCGCGTGGCTCTTCCCGATGATGAATGGCATGACAACCTTCTTAAGGGTTTGAGTCTGTTTTCTTTTTAGTAGCCAGTTGGTAAGGGTGCCTCAAGCAAAGCTTCACTTGGGCCTAACATATTTGCCTTTGATCCTATGGTCAAAAATAAATCGTTGTGTATAGGATGGTGAAAGTTGTGACCTTGAGACTCTTGTGTTGGTTGATAATCATCAAGTGATTTTTCGGGAGCATTGTGTTGCTCAAATCTTAGATGAGGTTGTTGTGGGCCCCCGACTCTGTTTCTTTAGCAATCCCATAGCTTGTGCAGTGAGAATTTGAATTGCAAGTCCAAGTCCCGAACCATTAGTCTAGAACTTGCCCTGAATGTTTGTCTAGGCGAAATCCTAAGTGTAATTTGACTTGAGATGTGATTATTGGCTCTCATTGATCCGAATGATATTTGAACACTTCCATAGCTTACCAATGATAATATCCCTAGTCAACCCTTTTGAGCCATGAACCTTTTTCTTTCAAAAACCACGATACAAGCCTTTACCCGTTCTAAAAATACCCTCTCTTGACACCCGATCTTTCCTTAGCACAAGGCAAAAGCATAAGTTTGGGGGGGGGGAGAGACGAGGAATGCAACAAAGTGGTAAAAGGTACAAAATGAAGAAAAAAAAGGCAATGAAAAAGAAAAAAGATCAAAAAAATAAAAAGAATGATCAATGTAGAAAAGAATGAAGGGATTCAATAAAAGTAAAAAAATGAAAAGTGTGGAAAGTTGAGAAAGGAGAAAAAGTTTGAAATGAACAAGAAAGAGTGACAGTGTGTCTCTCTAACCCCTAAGAAAGAAGCAAATGATTTAAAAAGTCAAGTGAATGTGTGCCAAAATGAAGCAAAAGAAGTGCTAAAGGGAAGATGGAACCTGCTTAGACTAAACATTTCCTACTCTGAACCAAAAATCTTCACTATATCTCCATAAAAGCCCTATATGATCTTGAGTTGAATGAAGCTTACATTAGTGGTGACTCACATAAGGGGCAAGCTTATGGTACTTAGAGTCGGACTTGTGACTTTTCTTTGAGAGAGATGAGTGTATTTCCATTATCCCCGTTCTGAGTGCTACAACCCTAAAGGTGAGGTTTGCTTAGGGAGAGTTGAGGATGCGTGAGTTTGGGTTCCACAATGACCAAAGTAATAGAAAGAGTTTCTTTGATGTGTTGAGTCAACTCTTGATGCTCTTGTGTCGCACTAAATCCATAGTGCTTAAAAGAGTGACTGTTGTTAATGATTCATTTGAATTGAAGGCAATTATTAGTCCCAATAAATGCTAGATGAGGTCACTTTAGGTCAGCTAAATTTTCTTGGATTTACTCTTAAGGGGTGAGTCTTATTTTGTTTGCTTGAAGACAAGCAAAAACTTAAGTTCGGGGGAGTTGATAACTAGGGATTATGATGCATTTTACACTCTTTCTTACTTGAGTTCTGATTAAAAATGTGTACAAAATGGTCCCAAAGGCTTACATGTTGTACTTGTTTACAGGGTTTGGTCAACAAGGTGACAATTCGTCAAAACCAGCTCAAAAAGGAGTGAAACATGACAAGTACCAAGAATAAGTCAAAGCACAGTGCAACAGGTCCACTGCGGCCGCACTCCATTTGGTGCGGTCCGCAGTGAGGAGGTTCAGAGAGGTGCCTATTTCAGGAAGTCAAGCATTGCGACCACAAAGCATGTCATGCGGACCGCAATGGACTCACCGCGGCCGCACTCGATATTGTGCGGTCCGCAAAGAGGGAGTTTAGAGAGTTGAAGATTTGGAGCTTAATGCCAATGCGGTCCGCAGTCCTTTTTGTGCGGACCACAATAGAAGCCACCGCGGCCGCGGTGCATTTTGTGCAGCCCGCGGTGGCCAAGTTCATAGAACAGAGTTTAAAGCCAATAAGCCTCACTGTGGCCGCACTCGATTTTGTGCGGACCGTACTACCCCCGTTGGGATATTTTTGTCCAGAAAATTCGGCCTAGTATAAATAGTTTCTTTTACCATTTTTAGATCATCAGTTGTATTTTAACTTCCAGTTGCGCTCGTGAACAGTGTTCCTTACCCATTTTGAGTAATTTTAGAGTAGTTTTATCATTGAATCTTCAAGCATTAGCTTGTAATTAAATATTATGGGTTTTTCTTCATCTATTTCTTTGTTGTCTTCTATTATCATGAGTATCTAGACCCATTAGCTAGGGTTGTGGTTCAACCGTAGTGTGGGTATTTGATGGGTCTTGTGTTTTAAGGCTTGAATGTCTATGCGTGTTTGATATTTGGACTAATTTATGGTTTCAATGTTGAATTAGTGGTTGCAAATTTGTGCCTATTTGACTTGGGTTCTTCTTGAGAAAGAGAACTTGAGTCTAGGAAAATTAGTCCAATAAGGAATTTGGGCGTATTCAAGAGATTGATAGCCCCAATTAAAAGGTTAAACCTAGAGATAGTAATACCCGACTTGAACCTAAATTGCTTGCACAAATTATCATACCCAATTGGTCTTGAGAAAGTCAATTAGGACAAAATCACTCAAACTACCTAGAGGTATAGAGTGAGAAGTTCAGTGCATTGGTTATATCGTAATCCCCAACATGACAACCTAGCCTTAGCCTAGAGAACCCGTCAAGTATCCACCTAGGAGAAAGTCACTTCCCTAGTGTCTTCTTAACTATTTAGACAACCCTCAAGTATTTCACTCTTAGCTTAATTTAACATCTTATTAGCATAATATTAGAAGTAATCAAAAGACCAACTATGATTAGAAGTGCAATTAAGAGCAATTACGCATCTCTAACTTAGATAGAAATTCAATTCTCATTTCTAGCTCCCTGTGGAAATCGATCCCGGCCTTCTCGGGTAAAAGCTGCTTCGACCACTCTCGCTACTTTGTAGTAGTGCAGGGTTGGCTCCGATGAATAACCAACATATATTTTCAACCTTCTTCGGGAACACATCTTTATACATTATGGTGGAGCAACTGGAACATATACATCACATCCAAAAACTCTAAGACGGAAAGTAATTGGCTCATGACCAAAAGCCAACTATAATGGGAGACTTCATGATATCTAGCTGACCTTATGCGCACAAATGTTGCTACATGCAAATTAGCATACCTCCACACTAAAAGAAAAGGTTTTGTCCTCATTAAAAATGATTTAGCTATTAATTGGAGGCGTTTAATCAACAATTCTGCTAGACTATTTTGAGTATGAACATGAGTAATCGGGTGTTGAATTGTTATTCCAGTAGATATACAATAATCAGTAAAAGCTTGAGATATAAACTCATTATAATTATCAAGACCAATTATCTTAATTGCATGACTCTTAACCTTATTATTTGAGTCTCACAAATGGCATTTTACATGTTGATAATAAGCACACTTGCTTTTCAAATGTGTATAACATGATTCTTAATACCTTTATTTATATGGTTACATTGAGGAATACCAAGGGGTATCATGTTCGTGTCATTTACCATTCAGATTATGAGAATGAATCGAGAGGAGGTTATGAAGAGTTATAACTATAATGATAAGAAATAGCGAAGAGTTAACTACATCATGAGAAAAAAAAAATAGTGGGAGTAGTGAACAAAATACTATAATTTACAACAAACATTTATTTAGTCTTTCTCTTTTAGGACATTTTTGGAAAGTCACCTTGTCATTGAATTTGGATATAATTGGGTATAATTACATAATTTGACATGTTTGTCTGATCAAGTATTAACTAGTCAGCATAGAATTGGGTGTAATTGAGAGAGAGTAATTAAACTCGCCCATTTTCAAGAGGAATGTGAGAATTGGTAATTGTAATTGTAATTGCTAGATAACTTTTTAATTTTTTTTCTTTTATTACTTTTTCTCTTTCATTTCTTTCCGCTTCCCAAATTTTTTTCTTTTCAACGTCAAGTCACTTTGGTGTTGCTTTTCAGATACGAGTACTTTACAAGTCCTTATATTTCTTCTTCCTTTTTAAACTTTTATATTTTTTTTTGTCAAAAAAAATACTTTTATATTTTGATTATTTATTTCCCCCCTTTCAATATTTGTTGAAATATTATTTTTTTGGATAAATTTTGATTGATGATTATAATAATTTGAAAATATCATTATTATTACTAGCTTTATAATAATTAGTTGTTATACAAATTGTGTTGTAGATAGATTAATAAGTAGTGTTTCTATTTTGCTTAATACTTAGAACTTTTTTTTTTTACTCATTAGTATAAATTTTATTATAGAGAAGTACTTTCTAAAGTTATACCGATCATTTAAAAAAATAAATTAAAACTTTAATATTTTTTTATATATACATATATTTTTCACACACTAAAGTTTGCTTACTTTGTACATTACTAGTTTTATTTCCTGATTACTAGTATAAATATTTATTATAGAGTATACTTTCTAAACTCATAGTTAATTTTCTTATATTCGCATGAGTTGGTAAAACTATTAAATTTGTTATTAAGATTTTATTAATTAATTAATTTAAGTAACAATATTATTTATTTGGAAGATATCAATTATTTATGACATTATTTATCAATTTATAACGATGTAATTATATTTGTCTAACCAAATATGATAATAAAATTTGCACGGTAATTACATTATGGCAAACGATCAAGGTGTTACATTGCCCAAACAGACCCTTAGTATAGCAATAAAATTTTATGACACTAATGACAGCCGAGCGAAAAAATCCAATATTAAATTCAGTCTTTGCCTTAGTTCTTCTCTTCTATCTCTGCCTCTGCCTCTCACTTCCCTAGGAGAAGCAAAGAATTGCAGTCTGTAATCTGTATGTAGATGCGTGCATATACATACATATATTCAGCTACCTATACTTTCTTCTAATTTAGCCAACCGTTGATTCTTGGTTGTTTCTGGCTTAGATCCCCTCTCCCTTTGTTTTTCTCACTTGGTATAATTCCTGTTATCCTCTGCTTTATGATTTATGCATATGCATGTTTTGTGATATATTCAGTTTGTGTTTATGGATTTCAATCTGTGTCATCTGTGCACTTGTGCGCTTTTCCTCTAGTAAAATTTTTATTGAAAGAAATGGGGTTTTGGAAAAATAATTGAGTTAAAATCTCAGGAGAAAACACTAGGTAATTTTTTTGGACCCGCCTAAGCTTTGGTGAGCAGAGTTACCCAGTATTTGTGCCGGTGGGAGGTAGTAGATATCCAGTGGAATAATCAACATGCGCGCCCGTATACTACTGTCATAAAAAAAAATTGAATTTACTGATTTGGGGCACTTCTTTTTTTGGTTATCCGTCTTGATTTTGTGACATTTTGTTGTAGTGTATGTAGTTTCTGAAAAGAAGATGCTGATTATTCGGAAGTTGCTGATAAATCTTAAGTTCTAAAGTTCGATTATTTTTAGATTCTATCGCCTGCACTTTTTTTGCCAATGCTTTAGTTTGCTTGTCTTTTTTTATGGTATTTATCGAAATGGTTTTACCTTATCTCTTTTTCTTTCCACTTTCCTTGTGATTCAGCCATTTTCTTTATATTTGGAAAAATGTTTGTATTTTGAATGCACGTATGCAATTCGCGCGTGGAGAATTAGGTTTTCTTTACAATTTAGGGTTCAAAAGAAGTAGGCGGTTATTAATGGGATCTTGATTTTGCAGTCACTTGGATTGGTTTCTTATTTTTATTTTTATGTCGTGGATTTATATAACCGACCAGAACCAGTTTTCGACTGAGATATAGTTGTTGTTCTTGTGCTTTTATTTAAGGTGCTTGGTTATTGCGCGTGCAAGCACTGTGATGGCATTCACTAGTACTGATAAAATCAGATTGGCAGATACAGTGGTATGTAGTTATTCTGCTCTTAATCTATGGTGAAACCCATTATTCCATTGGTAGCCATCTGAACTGGTTGTTGAACCAACAAAATTTCACCTACTTCAGTTGCATGCACCAAAATGGATCAAGTGGATATAGAACTATTGGTATTATACAACCACAATAATTTCTCACCTTGATTAGTTGATGCACAAAATGTGACCTAGTTATATATAGAATTATTGATTTTATCCTCTCTCCTAGTTTTGTTGTAAGAGCGACATATTTTCAAGTAGCTAGATTCATATGACCCTAGCTTCGCACATGTTTAGGCCAGTTTAACATGGTTGACCTATTTCCTCCGCCTGGGTGCAACTTATTTATGTGTCTTATCCAACTTTACGTCTATAATAGTCACTTTTTTATTGTGTTGACAAAAGTAGGAGTTGTGTATTAGTATTCTTAAGCAAAGGGTACAAAAAAAGAAGAGAAACGAGAACCTTAAATATCTAAGCTAGCACATTGAAACCTTGTCTTGCATGGGTGTTGAACCTAAGACCCGTAAAGCCATTGTAATCGAGCTCATAAATGAGCCTGATAAAGAAAAAAAGAGTCTAGAAAATGTTTCATGCATTTAGAACTAGCATTTAACTGAAAATGCTCCCAGGCACATTCCCCGAGAAAACTCTCTTTCCTACTTCCTAGGTTGGCAGGGTAGTATTTTCCGGTGTAATACCCACCGGATTCCCCCATCCTTTCTTCTCCACTCTCCACAAGCCTTACCATAATAATATGGATAATAACAGGATTTATTACAATGCAGGTTTCAAATCTTTCGATATCACAAAAAACAGAACGAGATCAGAAGTTTGGTTCGAATGGGTCGAGCGCAGTAGAAAATTAATGAGGTCTGCAACAGTTAGCATTAAAGTTATGAAATGGGTCACATGTGTGTTTAATGTGGCTTCAAAGGAACATAACAAGACAATAAGAAGATGGTCTATGAAAGACCATTACACAGAATATTATTGCAGCCTTAAATATAATGAGTATGGTAGGTACATCAGTTTCATTGCAGTACAGGGCGATAATAGATCTGTTATAATTACACCAGAAATTGCATTAAATGCTAGGTGGAGTGCTATAGCCCAGAAAATTCTTAGGCTCATAAATGAGCATGATAAAGAAAAAAAGAGTCAGCCGGAAAACATCCCTCGTCTGGAGTCCTCTTTCAAGGAAGCAATCAATACAAGTAGGTGGCAATCAGAAGGAACAAAAGGATCCCCTATCAAAATCAACAATGCCAAGATCACAATCCCAGGTGGAACAGAGATAACGGAAAAAGATATCTTGAGTCGATGCATTGTAGGCAGAGTTCTGACCCCTATGAAGGAAGCACCATCTTTGAACGACATCAAAAGATGGCCAAGCTCCAGTTGGAAATCTACCATCAATGTTAATGTCCACGAGAAGAACGACTCCCAATTCCTTTTTGAATTTCCATCAAGGAAGGAAGCAGAGCATGTTCTTAATGGCGAATGGTACTATTAGAAATTTAAAGTTTGGTTAGGCTGGTGGAGTCCTACCACTGGATGCTAGCCGGAGGAGGTAAGGCGGGACTGGTTGTGGATCAGGCTTTTGGGTCTACCGGTAAATCTCTGGTCGGAAAAAGTGTTCAAAATTATAGGAGATTATTGTGGGGGATGGATAGAAACAGAGGAGGAAACAATGCTTAAAAATCACCTGCGCTGGGCAAGGATTAAAGTGAGGGGAGATGGAAGCAAGGTTCCTAGAGAGATAGCAATAGAAAGTGACAATCTGCTGTACAAAATTCCAGTGTGGTGCGAACTGCCGACGACTATAGTGGAGGTTCCTTTGGGGGAGGAAGAAGAAAGAGGTAGTTGTCTGATGGGTAATGAAAGAAATAGTTACCCGTTGGTTTATAGTGGAATCCACCTTGGAAAGAGTGTATTGTCGGCGGCTTTCCAGGACAGTCACGTGGGTCCTCAGCTGGAATTTAAAAGCCCTAATCAGTTGGCACATGTGCCAGGCTCACGTGCGATTGGGCCTAGATTTGTAAAAGAGAATATGGGCCCCAATTTTAAATTGGGCCCAAGCCAGGCTAATTTTTCTTTCAAGTTATGTTACAAGGATCTAATACCTTCAGCCCATAAAGAAACATTTAATGACCCCCTTTTAATTGAAGTCCAGGCCATCAAAACAGTAAAAGGAAATAACGAAGGGGCGGACCAACTTGAATTCAGAGACAGAATTCGAGGAGACTCTTTACACCCTCAGAAAGAGTCTGAAGAGACAGAGAGATCGACCAATTCAATCACTGCAACAATCATGGAGATCAACAATTCAGAGAATCAACATGCAACAGAATCACAGGAAAATAATTACATGCAAATTGGGGAGGTAAACGATTTGGGGGAGTGGACCATTGAAGAAGTTCTCCCTCTAAATTCCTTAATCAGTGAAGAAGAGGATGATGCTGAATTTAATGCACCAATCTGGGCGCATCAAAACATTATCAGATTGAGTAAGGAATTTGGGGTAGAGTTTAAAGGTTGTGAGCAGGAAGCTTTTCAATTATTTATGAAAATTGACGGCAAAAGGAGAAATGCAATGGAATCGACCTCATCGATTATGAAGACAGTCACACCAAAAAAGAAGCTAAGCAAAGAAGTTAGGAATTTAGATATAGGGAGCAATTTCAAAAGTAATGGAACAAGGAGCAGGGGGGATACATGGCCATAGATACTAAATGATGATCAAAATAGTTTCTTGGAATGTTAGGGGGCTAAATAGATATAGAAAGAGGGAGTTGATAAAAAATATGATGGGTAGTTGGAAGGCAGAAATTTACTGCTTTCAAGAGACAAAAGTAAAAGGGGAAATAAGGGAGATTGTCAGAGATTTATGGGCTAGTAGATGGGTGAAGTACGCTCAATTAGAAGCTAGTGGGACTAGAGGGGGCATTCTAATTATGTGGGATAGTAGGGTATGGGAAGGGGAAATAAGTAGTGTGGGGATGTTTTCTATTACAATCAAATTCAGTGGAAGATCACAAGACTTTGTTTGGCACCTCTCTAGCATTTATGCTCCTAATGATAGAGGGGAAAGAGAAGAAGTATGGTGGGAGGTAGGGGTTGCTAGGGGCCTATTCAATGGACCTTGGGTGGTATGCGGGGATTTCAATATTGTTAGATATCCATCAGAGAAAAAGAACTGTAGTAATTTCAACAGGTCAATGGCTGAGTTTGCAGAATTCATCAATGATATGGGGCTGGTAGACTTACAGTTAATGGGTTGGAGGTTCACTTGGAGAAAAAGGGTTGATCACAATGTTGCTGCTAGACTGGATAGATTCCTAGTTTCTGAAGAATGGGATGAAGGATTCAGAAAAATTGATTAATCTATTCTACACAGAGTCACATTAGATCATTCCCCTTTGCTTTTGCAGAGTGGGAACTGGGAACCAGTTAAGTCCTATTTCAAGTTTGAAAATTGGTGGTTGCTGACTGAAGGTTTCAACAAGAGAATCAAAGAATGGTGGGAGTGTTTCTCATGTGAAGGCAGTCCAAATTTTGTCCTAGCTTTCAAATTGAAAGCTCTAAAAGGGAAGCTCAAAGAATGGAGCAAATCAGCTCAAGGCAACCTGAAAACGCAGAAGCTGAGTATTCTGGGCCAACTAGCTGAATTGGAGGAGACAGAAGAAGTGAGGTCACTGAATGAAGAAGAGAAACTCAAATAAGCAACCTTATTGATAGAGTTCGAAGAAAATGCTAGGAAGGAAGAGATAGCATGGAGGCAAAGGTCTAGAGCAATATGGTTGAAGGAAGGGGACAAAAATACAAAATTCTTCCACAGAACTGCCAATGCCCACAAAAGATTCAACAACATTGACAAGTTACAAGTAAATGGTGAAACAGTGGAGAACCCTGTAGATATTAAGAGAGAGATAGTGGCCTTTTATCAGCACCTATATTCTGAGAGTTGGCGACCAAAGTGCAGCTTAAGGGGCTGCCCCACCATTAATGCAGAAGACAACCAAATGTTGCTGAGTCCTATTGAACCACAGGAAATATGGGAGTGTGTTAAAGCTTGTGCAGGGGACAAAGCCCCAGGCCCAGATGGATATACAATAGTGTGTTAAAGCTTGTGCAGGGGACAAAGCCCCAGGCCCAGATGGATATACAATAGTGTGTTAAAGCTTATGCAGGGGACAAAGCCCCAGGCCCAGATGGATATACAATGGCCTTCTACATCCAATGCTGGGAAGTGATAGGATTAGAGGAGGTGATTGCTGCTGTTCAAAATTTCCATGAAAGTGGGACCTTTGAAAAGAGTTTTAATGCAACCTTGGTGGCTTTGATTCCAAAGAAAGTCGGGGCCAAAGAATTAAAAGATTTCAGACCTATTAGTCTGATAGGAAGTTTCTACAAAATAATTCAAAGATCCTAGCAGAAAGGCTCAAAAAAGTTATTGGAAAGCTGGTGGATACCCAACAGATGGCCTTCATCAAAGGTAGGCAAATCATGGATGCTATTCTGATTGCAAATGAGTGTGTTGATGCCAAAATGAGGAGCAAAGATCCAGGCATTTTGTGTAAGTTAGGTATTGAAAAGGCTTATGACCATCTGAACTGGGAATTTCTACTGGGAATCCTACTGAAGATGGGTTTTGATGAGAAATGGATCAAGTGGATTAAGGCATGCATAAATACTGTGAAATTTTCAATTCTGATAAATGGGTCGCCTGCTGGATTCTTTTCATCACAGAGAGGTTTGAGGCAGGGGGACCCTATATCCCCTTCCTATTCATTCTAGCAATGGAAAGTTTAAACAACCTGTTTAAATCTGCAAAAGCTAACAACTAGATCAAGGGCTTCAGGGTGAACCATAGAGTTCCAGAGTCTCTGGAAATCTCCCATTTATTATATGCAGATGATACTTTGGTTTTTTGTGATGCTAATAGAGATAAGGTGCTCCTTCTGAGAGTGATTTTCATACTCTTTGAAGCTATTTCTGGATTACACATTAACTGGAATAAGAGCTTCATTTATCCAGTTAATGAAGTAATGGAGATTCATAACTTAGTGAATATTCTGGGAGGGATTATAGGAACTCTGCCAACAGTACATCTGGGAATGCCTCTTGGAGCAAAAAGCAAATCAAAAGGGATCTGGAATGATGTAATTGAGAAATGTGAAAAGAAGTTGGTCAGCTGGAAGAGTTAATACCTATTACTGGGAGGGAGACTTACACTAATCAATAGTGTTCTAGATGCTTTGCCAACTTACATGATGTCTCTATTTCCTATGCCTACAAGTGTAGCAAAAAGACTTGATGCCTTGAGAAGAAACTTCTTATGGCAAGGAGCCAGTAAGAATAACAAGATTCACTTAGTCAGATAGGATGTTCTCACAACAAGCAAAAAGGAAGGGGGTATGGGGATCAGGAATCTGAAATTGCAAAATCAAAGTTTGATGATGAAGTAGCTATGGAGGTTTGCTACAACAGAACAATCTTTGTGGAAGAATGTAATTGAGGTAAGGTATGGGAAGGAATGCAGCTGGACAACCAAACCAGTGAGCACTCCTTATGGGGTTAGCCTGTGGAGATCTGTCAGAAATTAATGGCCAAAGTTTTGTACTAAGTCTAGTCTTAAAGTGGGTAACAGTATGAAGACCTCTTTCTGGGAAGACATATGGCTCGGACAAAGAACTTTGAAGCAGTTGTTTCCAGACATTTACAACCTGAATCAACAACAAGTTTCTTATGTGGGAGAAGTGTGGACAGTTCATGGATGGAATCTCACCTTCAGAAGACTCCTAAATGATTGGGAAATTCAAAGGATGTTAGAATTTTATAGCACCTTAGAACAATTCAAAGGGACTTCATATTCTGAGGATAAGATGCATTGGAATGGGAGAAAAGAAGATAAGTTTACTGTCAGATCTGCATACAAAGCTCTTAATCAGTCTAACAATCAGATTGGATGTTGGCCATGGAAGATGATCTGGAAAGTAAGAATTCCCTGCAAAGTTGCATGTTTTACTTGGTTATTAGCAAGAGAAGTAGTCCTGACACAAGATAATCTTATCAAGAGAGGTTATCAGTTGGGGTCCAGATGTCACCTGTGTGAAGCTCGTGGGGAGACAATCAGCCATCTTTTTTTTTTACACTGTAATGTTACTGATCAACTATGGAAGATATTCATCAATCTGAGAGGGATCCAGTGGGTTATGCCTAGGAATATCAAGGAAGTCCTAACTAGTTGGAAAAGAGATGGGGAACATTCCGGCCAAAAGGAGAGATGGAAGATTGTCCCAGCTTGTATCCGGTGGACAATATGGAAAGAAAGGAACCAAAGATGCTTTGAGGACAACCATAGTTCAATACAAAAACTGAAGATGAGCTATTTAATGCTCTTTTACTTTTGGTGTAAACAGGAATTCCTAGAAGAGTGTGAGAATATTTTTGATGTTTTAGACCATTTGTGAATCCTATAGAACTTTAGAAGAGATTTTGATGTTTTAGACCATTTGTGAATCCTATAGAACTTTAGGCTTCTCTTCTGGGTTCCTGCAATGTAATTATTAGGTGGTTTTCACCACTGGTGTAATCACTTTTATAATCAATACAAACATATTACCTTTTCAAAAAAAAGAAATATTTGTATCACCTTCCTTTTCCACTAATATTAAAGATTGTCTTCGGTTTACTTTCCATGTGAATCAATTATATTGAACTTGACCTAGACTAAACAAGAATAAAGAAAATTTGTGCCTCTTAGGAGATGTAGAATTCATAAACTTCTTTTTCATGAAACCAAATGTTGGAAAAAAGTACCTTATGGATATTTCATAATTCCTTGATCCCAAGGTACTTCGTTATTGGACTACTAGTCCCTACGTTCGTGCGTTGCACAAATTCGCTGAAATGATTTTTAAATTTTGGACCACATATTGTAAACATTTTTTGCTTGAACTATAAATCCTCACAATAAAAAATATATTAACATGATTTATATAGCCGACCCAAGTGTGATTGAACTATATTTGTTGTAATTTTATATTGTGGGCTAGATTAAGAGTCTTATTTGTATTACATGAGTTGTATGGATTAGAAGTTTAGTTTAAGTGTCATGCTAATAGATAGCTGTTGAAATATTTCTTATTTATTTCGCATTATTATCAAATACAAAATATTTTTCTAGAACTTGAAATATTTGATGATAAGTTTTAGAAAACTGTTTTCCTTTCTTTTGTACATTAATGTCAGAATTTTTTAAGAGGTAAAATAGGGGCATTTTGGTCTATCAAAATTTTACTTAGATTCTTCCCACTTTTATAATAATAACAGATTAAACATGTGCAATTTTGACTTCGAGGTATGTAACCTGTACCTTATCAAAAAAATATTTTGACTTCGCGGCAAGTGCTAATGGTGCTCTTGGGGACATACTTCACCTTAAGTGCTTATGTTTCCTAATGCATCCCACCTAAGGCTTGTTAGGAAGCTCTGTTTACTGAACTTAGTTTTTGACTTTATCGTAAGGAAAAATTCTTGATAGGTATTCCACCTTGTGGGAGTGGCATCTCATTAGAACTTGACCGTAGACTCTTGTATTGATTTTGTTTCCACTGGATGCCATTATTAAAAATGCATTACTTTATCAAGAAGACTACACTCTAAACTTTAGAAGAGTTTATTTTAGTCTGCTGTTCAGACCCTAAATAAAGCTTACACCAATGGTATAGGATTAGTGAACAGAACTCAGATTAATTGGTTGAAATTAGATTTCGAGCTTATCAGGTTAAGAACTTAAGATTTATGACCAACAAAGAATCTCCTAAAACAGTGGCTTCAGACATTTTTAAGATTAAGACAAACTTTCTTGGAAACTCTCCCCGAGTGTCAAGTGGTTCCTGGTATCCGGTGGTTCCTGTACACCAATATGATCAAGTAGTTAGACCAATTTTTCAATGTGAAGTGGCCCGCTATATGGATTCATTTGCACTCTTGATGACTTGGGAAATGTTTTGTTTGGAAATATTTCATGCTAACTTTCTTGTTTGTTCAATATAAATAGTATTCCTAAGTTCTGGCTCCCCCGACAGGGACGGGAACAGCCTTCGGACTTTACCTGTTACCTGGCACATCAGGGTATAAATAGTATGCCTAAGTTGTGGCTCAAACTATTTACCTTTTGCTGCTTTATGAATGATTTTATTCCCCAGAGCATCAACTTCCTTTCATGGTTGCCAAGTCTCCTGTAAAGTCATTTAGTTGAGCAGTTTCAAAATTAACTTTTCTTACCACGGATCTCGTTTGTGGCCTCTCCTAGCCTTATCTGGACAGTCACTCTGATTTATCTTCTTGTAGAACTTCCTGTTATTAATGATATTTAGTTTTATTGGTCTTTCATTAGTTTTATCTTGCATTTTCTTGGTGATTTTAAGTCATTGCTTTCATCATAGAGAAGAACTCCTGTACTTTGAGTGCCCCATAGAGTTAAATTATATTTTCTCCTTTGAAAGTGTTTTTGTCGAGACCCCACACATGTTTAACTGGATCTTCTTGTTTATAAATTTGTTCCTTGTACTAGATGGACTCATTTGGGTATGGAGATTGTTTCAATTGCTACTAGGCTGACATTTCAAATTTGATTTATAATTGCTCTGTATTATCAATTCATATCAGCTCTTGATGACTTGGTGTGAACTCCCTTTCAGCATTTATTTTACCAATCCAAACAGGGGTTCCTGTCTTTGTAGAAAGTACATAAATTAGCCCTTTGGTTAAATAGGATAAAAGGTGTTCTTTTTCTGTCCTATGTTGTTCACTGTTCCAGGAGTTCTCTTGTCGAATAAATCATGTTTGCTTTGTTTGGACAGTTCTATTCAATTTAGAATTGGTTAGATGGAGCGAGATCATCTGGACCTTGCGACCCTTGGAAAAACGGATCATAATGATATTCATGGTTCTTCAGTTGCTAGTCACCGCGATAATATGAAGTATGAGCCAAAAGATTTGAGAAATTCTGCAGACCCTGCTTTTAATCAGAATCCTATAGATGTTACTTCTTCACCAGAACGAGAAGATCATAGCACAGACGATGAGGATAACCAAGGTGAAGATGCTCAAAAGCAGTTAGTGCTTTACGATCCTGCTGCAGTTGGTGCTGGCGAAATTGAACTCGTCCCTGATCCTCTTGATTCTCAACCTCGACGAAACTCCTTTCCGAATTATACATCTAGAATTTTGCCAGCTGTAGGGGCATTTACCGTGCAGTGCGCAAACTGCTTCAAATGGAGGCTCATACCTTCAAAGGAGAAGTATGAAAAGATAAGGGAACACATTTTGGAACAGCCTTTCTATTGTGAAACAGCCCGTGAGTGGCGTGCTGGAGTATCATGTGATGATCCACCTGATCTTACTCAAGATGGAAGTAGGCTCTGGGCTATTGATAAGCCTAATATTGCTCAGCCCCCTCCTGGGTGGGAACGTCTTTTAAGAATCCGAGGTGAAGGAGGCACCAGGTTTGCTGATGTGTATGTGTCTTGCATTCCTTCCCTCCTCCTTTTGCCGTTAGTAGGTCTTAAAAAGTGTATATGATTCTTCCCTATTAAGCTAGGACAAACACTGCCTAATTAACATTTCTCTTGTCATGATGATTTTTACAGGTATTATGTTTCGCCATCGGGCAAAAGACTTCGTTCCATGATTGAAATTCAAAAGTAAAATTACTAAATCTTGAATCTCTATTCTCTTTACATATTCCTCATGGTTTTTGCTCAATGCTTTCTCTTCCCAGGTACTTGCAGGAACACCCGGAGTATGTAGCAGAAGGTGTAAGTATGTCCCGGTTTTCATTTCAGATCCCAAGACCTCTGCAGGAAAACTATGTTAGGAAGCGGCCTTATCGTCCAGCACTTGCACATGATGAAGATGATCCTGGTATGCCACAACCTTTTGCACCTCCATAGACTTGGTTCTTTAAGCATGCTTAAGTTAAAAACTCTAGCATTTGGGATTAAAGCTAGTTGCATGAATGTAGTTCATGCTGGAAAATGAGGAAATAAAGTTAACAGGTGCTATTTGGTTCTTTCTCCCCCTCTAAGACTGCTATAGGTGAACAATGAAAGAATTACTTTCAAGTTATGAACTGTTCCGACTGGAGTAACTGGAAGCTTGTCCTAGGGATAATGATTCTATCTGAACATACACGTTATAAATGAATCACTGTGGTTTTTGTGCATTAAGCATTCAGCCCTCTTAGGCTATAAGTACTTGATTGATGGATTTTCCTTCACTACCCTCTGTTTATTATAACTAATCACCTCTTGGATTGAGAAATTATACTGTGAAGTTCTAAGTTCATAAGCATAGATCGGTTCATGTTGATTGGTGTGATTCCATTAAGTTTCTAAATTGTGTGAACTTGAGACGGCGGCTGGATATGAAGATCTATGTTATATCTTTGCTCCTGACCGGTTATTCATCTGGTTGTCCCATCACCTTAGTCTAATTATTACTGGAGCTTGTAATAGGCAGTGTTTTCTACAAAAGAATGAGACTTTGTACTCGGCACTGATTGAAGCGCATTTGTAGCTATGGCAGTGAAACGCATATCATGGATTGGTTCAGATGGCGGTACAGATTTACGGCTTGGTATGCCAGGGCTGTCTGCACCTATTTACCGGGCCCCTCTTTTTGAACCTGTGAGCCAATCGCTCAAGAAGAAGCGGACTCCATCTAAACGAATGAGCAACACTGATGCAGCGTGCAAGTCAAGTTAGAAGAGTCTCGTCTACTTTTGTTTGTATACGATCTGGTGAAATCTCTGAGAGTTCATTTTGTGTAAGCTGACATTGAGCAACCTGCACATGGACTTGTACGTACGGAAATGTTACTAGAAATATGGCTTTTACCAAGCAGTGTTTTTTGATGAACTTCCCTGATGGTCATATCTTTTGTTGTTTCCGTTGAGTGTAGACTGTAGATATGAACGAACTAGGTAATGTAAAGAACGAGTTTTAGTTGAATATTTACTTCTGTTAAAAGCGAATGCTTATTGTTAAAACTTAAATATAACTAACTGGCTGTTCATGGTGTTTTCACGTCAAGATGTTTAGAATCTTCTGTTGTCTTATACTACTATGTTTGACGCCCCATAACATTTTTAACACTCCTACAGTGGTCTACTCTTAACTGTTGTACTTCATAAAAGTTCAAATACAAAGAACCAAGTCTTGATACAAAAACAATGACATGATCGCTCTCCACACGGGCACACACAGTCTAATATTGAAAACTATGAGCAAGTTGGTCCGTTTGCGAGATTATCATACTATTTTTAGTAGAAATTGCACGGGGCGACCAAATAGGGCGCCCCATTTAATCTATACCCATTTCTTTTTAAAACTTTTAACTTGTAATCACTTCTTAAATAATTTCAGCTCCCTTTCTCCTCCTCCTTCTCCATCACAACCTCACCCCCCCCCCCCCCCCCCCC